CACACACACCGGGGTCATCACAATATGCGTTTTTGCATTTGCATATTATGCAAAAACGCATAAAAAAAAACGCATCTTCGCACCGGCAACAAGCGCGCTAGCCATTTATTTTTTTGCGTAAAGACACTTCACACTGACAGGATGGCGCGAGCACAGGATAAGGATGCTGAGATGGTCTGCGTTACCGTCAGCCAAGTATACTACGGACTTTCGGTTATTTATGGACGCAAACAACTTGTTGATGCCTATTTCAATCTGGGTTATACTGCATTCAGTTGTAAGCTTTTATCACTTTTGAACTGTTGCCTCCCAATCCATTTGCCCTTTCCTCTTGCTTCACTTCTCCTTTAGCTCTTCGCCTTTTTTCACCCTATCCGCGTTCTCATATGGACCATGGACACCAGATTGTCCAACAGGTTCATTCAGAATGAAAAAAAATCTAAAAGAATTCTGCATAGAAATTTATGACCTGCAAAACGAAGGATGTTTTACCTCCTCAAACATCCAAGAAATTCAAAAACTACAATTCTCGTTGAAACCACGACGAAGTTATTCACCTAGACTGTGCTGAGACGCTCGAAACAAAATTGTCAATTAAACGAGATTTCCTCTGGCATCCCTATCACTGTCTTTTAGCGATTGTTGCAGTCTTCAAATTTTCCTAGACACCACAGTTCTGAATTCAATCTTTTTGTAAAATTCTACGCGGTTTTCCTGTGCATCCTTTTGTCGTGAATAATCGCCTGAAGAGTAAGATTTTAGATCTACGACAATTTTTTGTGCGAGGACGTTGATGGCCGAGAGACCATGCGCGCTAGCAGTGTGATTATCCATATTAGTGCTTTTATTGGGATGCTCCTACCCGCCAAGTAAATATCCCCTGGACTGTACCCATTGATGCATGCGCGCTATTTTTTCGGATGACGATCGAGTGTTGGTTATTTGCATTCTCAGAGTACCTTTAGCTAACAATCGACGTTCATCGGCTATCAGCGAGGCGAACAACATGCCTTGCTTACCGGATTTCACTTTCTCGCGCTGTCGCAGTGACATCTTGTCGGCTGGTTTGATACTACGGTGAAATCGGTGCAATGGAAATTACCCTAATCAGTTGCCCTTCGACGTGCAATCTCCAGCGGGAGATTGTGACGCACATTTGCTTCTTGTCCAAGACTGAACTAACTAATTTACATACCGTCTATCTGCATTTTTGCCGCTGACATGCCGAAACTCTGCACCACCTTCGTTTTCAATGCGTTGGTTTTCAGGCTCACATCGTTACATATGTATTGAGCTCCTGCAGCATCTGCTTGCTTCGCAAGGGATGTTTGCAAAAAGAGCTTTAGCCGTTTGCCATTATTCTTCAGACCATCTTCCCAATTCAGTCTCCTAAATACGATCACATCACGAGACGCGAAAGGCTTGGACGACAGGACGCTGACTCGCTTTCTTGTTCGGTGTATGAATTGGTATGAATAAAAGTATTATGTCTGTCCAGCAACCAGTGCCCGCTTTTTCAACAGTTCTAAATAGTTCCCATCAATCCTTTCACCTAGAGTAGATCGTAGCGCAACATTCAGTTCTAATCTGTCAATTGGTTTTTCGTATTCGACAAGTAGGAGTCAGAGAGGCAGCTGGTAATTCATTCAGCATTCCAGTTGCTGTAGTCATAATCACCAGCGATCTAATTTTCCACAACTA